GCAGTGAGAGTCCGGAAAAGCAGCAGGTGCCGCTCTCGGCCAGGCGGGAACTCGGTGGCAGTCAGGCAGGGCTGGGAATTGGCGGCCCGACGTGAAGCGAAGCAGACTCTCATACACCCCTCAAGGGAAATAAAAAGCGAATTAAAGAATTCGAGATCAAGTCTCGGTAGCCAAGAGGCTGTTCTTGGCACGCGGGGCCTCTACCCTAAGGGCTGAGCGCCAGCAAGGGAGTTGCACTCGCATCTCTCTTGAATTTCTCTGCCTTTATTTCCCGTTCTCCTGACTTCCTCGAGTTCTCCCGTGATTTCATGTCATGAAATAGTCGGGGGGGGGGTGTCTTCTGCTTGAGCAAGAGGGTTGGACTAGAAGACCTCCAAGGTCCCTTCCAACTCTACTGCGATGGAGTGATTGTCCACCTCTTGTTGCAAAGTTCCGTGACGTCCACCTGACCGCAGAAGTGTCTTCGGACAGCGCTGGCCGAATGGCCTTGAAAGGGAGACGAGCAGCTGAGTGAAATCTGCAGGGACGCCTTTTCCTTTTACCTTTAACTTAAATTCTGAATCCCGAGATTTGACTTGCATTTGAATTCTCCCCTGATTACATTTCATCTGATTTTCCCGTGAATTCTCCTCTGGTGGCATCTCATTCAGATTCTGCAATTTCCTTCGAGGGCAATGTCGGAATTCGAACCCGGGACCCCTCACTGATATTCCCGTCTTCCCTCCCTCCCGCCATTCATTTCCCGGACTGCGCAGGCGCGGCGCTGCACCCGAGCTCGCCATCTTGGTGACGCAATGGGGCGGGCCCCTGGAGGAGGGGGTGGGGGTCCTGATTCCGGCCTTCGGGAGGACTTTTGAAAAGCTCCCGCAGCCGCCGCCGAGCAGAGGAGCGGCTGGCGGGCGTCCTCTGCCTTCGGGTCGCCCGACTCCCGGAGGTGGGGAGGCCTCGGACACACACTCGCCGACGCGGCGGCCGCAGGTGAGGGACGGCCGAAGGAGGAACACCGGGCGGGCAGAGCGGGTCGCCCGTCCTGAGGGAAAAGGTGGGGGGTGGGGGGGCGGCGGCTTTGTGCTCCCTCAGCGACTGCCTGGGGGCGGGACCGCTGGCGCGGAGGGAGGAGCGCACGCGCGCGCCTCGCCGATTGGCTACCGGGAAACGCTGCCGCGACGCCATTGGCTGGCGCGCGGGATCGGGCGTGGTCAGAGGGTGATGTGGAGCCAGGGTGCTCGTGCGCCTCCGCTACGGCGCCGGGACTACAAAGCTCAGCACTCGCAGCCTACCAAGGCGGGCTTGGCAGTTTAGGACATGGGATGGTCCCAACTGGCTTAAGGGCCCAGGTAGGGATTCCCCAGGGACTGTGGGCTTCCTTGGGCGGGGGGGTGTTGTACGGGGGGCTGCCCGGCTTGGGACCGTTATAACTGATACCTTACGGGGGGGGGGTCGCCTGGGGGCGGGCGAGGGGCACTGCCAGGGGGAGGAGGGGCTCTGGTTCCAAGGGATTCCATGGACCATGCTGCTGGGCCCGGGGTCTGAGAGTGGCTGAGAGGCAGGAACAGAAAGTTTGCGCTCCCCCTCGCCCCCTCCCCAAAATAGGCTGCAGTTTGAAATGGGGGCTTCTCAACTAGGAGGAGGAGGAGGAAGAGGAGGAAGAGCTGAATGCGGGGAGTCCTCAACTTACAACCACAATGAAGCCCAAAATTCACGTTGCGAAGGGAGATATTTTGCCCCGTTTTATGACTTCTCTTGCCCTGTTAAGCGAATAGCAGCGGTTCTTCAACAAGTCACACGGTTGTTAAGTGAATCTGGCTTCCCCCCATGGACTTGGCTTGTCAGGAGGTCACAAAAGGGGATTGCGTAAACCCTGGGACACTCTGAGCATCGTAAATGTGAGTCAGTTAAGCATCCAGATGTAAATCACACGGCTATGGGAGTGCTGCGACAGTCGTAAGCATGAAAAATGGTCCTGTCACTTTTTTTAATGCCATCCTAACTTTGAATGATCACTAAATGAACTTGTATGTCGAGGACCACCTGTATTATGGGGTCAAAGCCTGTCCCTCCTTTCCCCTTCCAGCTGACCCCCAAATAAAGTTAAAATGCCATTGAAAAATCCAGTGGGAAAGGTGGTTATTCTCTTTATCCACATTTAAAAAGCCAAAGACAGTGAATGCAAATGAACGGAGGGTGATTGTAAGCAAACCTCTGACCTGTTCCGCATGACTGAAGCCAGTTGCAAAGTTTGTTTAGTTTATTTGATCCTTTGGAGAAAGGCAAAAAGGGCTTTACTATTATTAACAAATGTTTGCCGTAATTAATTGTCTTACTTTATAAATCCGTGCTCCACATGCCGGATTTGGTTTGAGGGGATTATGGCCAAGAGAATGGTTTTGAAAAAGCCAGCCTGTGGCTGAATCGCATATTTGATAAAGAGATTTCTTGGGTTATCCAAAGGTCTGTTTTGTTTGTAAACCTTGGTTGGCTTAACTGTATCAGGCAGGCCATTCTGGCTCCTTCAGTAAATTAAGGTGAGAACAAACTAAATTTAGCTAATGGGTTAATGGAAAATAGCTTATTCTATTAAACTGAGCTGGCCACTGCTCTTTGCGGAGGAAGTTTTCTTCCTTTAATGTGTGTATACACACATACAAACACACATGCACACATGTATATATACACATACATACAAGCATATGCATTTAATCCACTAAGAAGCAGAGCAAAACCAGCATTGTGCATAGTAATTAAGCAGTTGGAAAAGCATTAAATGGAGCTTGTGGCCCTTTTGCCAAGTTCTGAAAAGTTGCTCAGCAACATCACTTTCTCTCTGCCCCTCTCCCTCCCCGCTTCAAGGGTGGAGATAGAACTTTCCCATTCAGCCTGTACTGGAAATGTAATTCCTTCCTGGCATTCATTGCTAGTCGGGTTACCTATGGGAGGGGGAGAGAGAGCTGCGTTTTCAAACTTCCTTTCAGGAGAGAAAATCTGGAGTCTTGCAACGTAGGCTCTGGTGCTTCTTTCCTGGAAGACTGCTGTGCTAGCCAGGATCTACTTCCTTAGAGTTTTACACACACACACATACACCTTATCAAAGATGGGTGCCACATGCAGTTGCAAACAAATGAAGTAGTAAATAAGGCAAGTAAATAAATACATGGGATAAGTAAGTATAAAAGCAGTTGCCAAAGGCAGATAATGAATTGAACAAACATACACTGTACGGAAAGGGGGGGGGGGGAGGAATGCTGTTTTGCTAACTCATTATGAGCACCAGCATCTTCCTGGTTACATGCTGCAGAAGGTTGCTACAGGATCTGTTATGTAGGAATCTTGCCAGGCCGTAGAAACGCACGGGTTGACCTGGAAAATCTAGCAAGGGTGCAATATAAATGCTGTGCGCATGGCTGTAATATTGGTGAATCAGAAGAAGGAAGTACCCCATCTCCAGGAGGGCACAATGGCTCTGAATGGAGACGGGGATTTAGTATCTCCCTCCTAGCGCCACCTAACGGAAGGGCCCCAACCTTGTCAGAGTAAAAGCTTTTCCATGACCCACATAAACCGGTTATGTAAGGTCCTAGCAAACACCACCAAAGCACAGGAATTGTGTAAAGGGAACTTCTCAACGGCCACCTTAGTGGTGGTGGACACCAGCACTGCAAGTGGGCTTTGAACATTTAAGAGAAAAGAGTTTGCTTGTGGTTAATTACAGACGATGACTATATTGTCTTATGATTGCTCAGTATATTTGGTAGATTCCATAATGCAGTAATTTCTTAGAATCACCCGTTCCTGTTCCTCCTCCCCCTTGTAAAGCAGAAGAGCTATGCAATTAAAAGAGTCTCTTTTGTAAGAGGTAAATTGGCTTTTTCTTGCACTGCCGGTTTCTGAGTGGGATCAGGTGTGTGGGGCCCAGGAGGAAGATTCGAATGCAGGTCTTAATTTTGGCCTCACAACAGCACAGAGCAGTTCTGCTAGAGCTGATCTTCCACTGCTGAAAATCAGAGCTTAAATGTTCTGGCTGGACTGCTAGATTTTCTCTTCCTAAATCCTCACTAATTTCTCTCACACTTCCCTTCTTTCATTTATTAGTGGAGATTCCAGCCCCCCCCCAAACCCCCATTTTTCCCTGCAGAGATCTATACAGATATTTGCTTTGAAGACACAAGGAGCAATTTGATGAGCTATAAAGGTGATTATTTTTTTGGCACAGCAAGTTCTGGGTACAAAGATCTAATATCACTTGAAGGGAATTGGAGGAAATGCGATCTAAAGTGCTAGTATGAAGTGATCCTAGAATGTAATAGTTGGAAGGGAACAGCTACTCCAACCTCTTCCCAATGCAGCTGATAACGTGACAGAATCCGGATGAGTTTTCTGGTCTGGTCTGGGTGGTCAGTGCTGGTCTGTGCTGGGCCAGCACAGTGCCCTCTTGGGCATCCAGCTGTAAGGTCCTCGCACGGATAATTGTGCCTTGTATGAGCAGGGAGAGATCCTGCACATTGTGCAGCCAGGTCTTGTATCCTGGTGTTTCGGGGCTACCACCCTGGGAGCGATGGCCAGCAGCGTGTCTGGCATTCAGAGACTCTGAAGGGGGTGGCCGAGAATTTCTTGCCAGGTTTCATCCTCTCTTGCTGGCACCTTCACTGCTTGCTACATGCGGCTCCTTGGAGGTGCAGGGGGCCGTCTATATTGTTCCTTTTAAAATGAGGGATAGTAAATCAATTGGCGGCGTCCCCTTAGAAGCGCTAAGCCCGCTTGGAGGGAATGAGTTACCGCCTGAAATAAGAGGCTGGCAGTTTCCAGTGGGTTTCAGTGGAGACTCACATCTCTTGCACTGATATGGCAGGTGGCCATTGTTTTTGGTGTGTTTATTGCCGTCCTGTGTGGGGAAGAGGCAGGATTGGGAATGAGAAGGCGAGGAGCCCAAACGATGAAATATTGGGCTTAAGTCTCATTTGTGATTCTGTGAGTTCTGCCTCTCTTTTCTTCCTGAACCCCTGCAAGGTCAAGTCGTTTCTCTCACAAAAGCGGCTTGACTGGGAAAACATAGCCAGCCTATATACATAATGCATATTGCTGTGCGGTATTTTAGGGTTGCATGTCTGGATGTCTAGCCGGCTAGTTCAGTTCTTATTTTGGAAGCATGTGGCAGTATTGTTTAGTTAACCTTTATGGTAGAATCTATTCCTCAGGGCTCTTTCCTGCAAAATTTGTTACCTTTTGCAAGACGGCTAAGTTTTGAGCTGCAAGAGATTTCTCTGGATATTTTCCACCCCTGTTTGCAGCACTTCCAGCACTAAAGGGGTGTCTTTAATTGGCACACAGGCTGGCTTCTGTTGCTGTGAGAGGCAGCTTGGGAGCTGGGTCTGTAACACAGCTCATAAACAGTTAGGGAAAAGGTACAATAATGTTTGTGGGAGGAAATGTTTGTTTGGGGCCAAGGGGAGGATCTCCTCTCTAGCCAAATAACAGTCAGTATCGGAGGGGGGTATTAATGTTGTACCTGAGCAAAGAAAGGCTGGCTGTTGGTTGGCATTAAGCTGTGCATCTGGCAAAGGTACACCATTGTTACTCCAAAGCCTGTAATAATAATCTTCTGTCTTGGCCTGAAGCTAACTAGACTTGGGTAAAATCCTTGATTCTTTACACACGTTGTGCTCATTTTTCTCTCTTCCCCTGCGGATCTTTTCCTAGTAGAAATTATGATGGTTTGTGCCTGGACTCAGAGTCTAATACCTGATTTTGCAGATGGTGTTCTTGGGCGCCTTAATAAGATGCTTGGAAGTTCATAGCTCAAAAATCTAAATTGCACCAGCCTGTTCCGATTAGGAGGAACAATTACAGCAAACCTATAAAGGACCCATTCCCGCCCTGATTGCCAGAAGAGCTGCCAAAATGCCTTTGTTGTGAGAAATTAATAAACCAGCCTCATGTTTGCATTTTAAAAATGCTGCTGGGAAGGGTGTCTTTATGACATGATCTGGTAGCCTATTGATTCTTTAGAAAGGCCGTTGAGTTCTTTAATGATCAGTAAATATGCATCCCTTCTCTTCAGTTTTTTCAACCCGTATGTGGAGGGTAGAGTGAGAGGGAAGCCCTGCGTTCAGTGGGACAGTGGGTAGAACCGCGGTATTTGAAAAGTGCTTCTCCGTGTGGTTTTCGGGGCCTCCTTGGCTAATATGTAAGGACCATCTCTGAATGATTCTCCATCATGGGTTCCTACTAAGAAAGACACGTAAATCGTCTGGTTTGACGTATTGACTAGATCCAGTTTTCCAGAAAGATAGTAAAGTTATCAGGGTTTGGGGTTTGACTGAAGTTGAACAGCTTAGAAGGGTGAGGTGGTGAATACTTTCAGCAGGTGATCAGCAGAAAAGCCCAAGGCTGCAGGTTGGACTGGGGGCTAGAGAAGATCTCTTGAATGAAAGGGCTGTCCTGGGGAGAAACACCTGCTCCGTTGTCAAGAAAACCCTCAGGGAGAGGTCTCTGTCACCAGCAAACTACCCCTTTACTTTTTTGGGAGTGACGGAAGCCCAGAGCTAGGTCCACTCTTGGCAAACAAGGGCAGCCAACTTTCACAAAACTGGATCATCCGAGGCTGCACTAGAGTCCTTTTTTCCGCCTATGATTTGTTTCGAGTATCCCATTATGTAAAAATTAACTGTATTAAAAGGCACGCAGTCACTTAGGTAAACGGGGGGTATTTTGGCAGACCCAATGGGATTGAGGGTGACACGCTGTTCTTCAGGGTGCCTGCAGCTAACTTCTTTCGGGAACAAGTGCTTGTGAAAAAATCTAAATGGCTGGCTAGGGATTAAGTTATCGAGCTAAAACTGTCCAGACCTGTTTTCTTTTGCCTTCACACTTGACTGTAACAACTTGCTGCGCACGGAAGAGTTTGTTCAGCTTTAAGATGACGCCATTGGTGTCCTGACACGTGGGCTGTTTGGGGAGTTTTACCAAGGCCCTTCTTCACGCAGAGAAACCCACCAGGCTGGCTAGAATGGCTCTCTGTGCATCCGAAATTGGTGGCACATGTGTGAAACGTGCCATTCATTCCCATAGTTAAAGGCTCAGCTGATCTCTTAAAAGAGAGAACCAGATTCATTCTCTGTCAGCTCATTTGGCTGGAAAATATCCAAGGAATACTTGCAAGAAACCTTTAAATTACCTTGAAGGATTGGCTTAGAGGAAGCCTGCAGCTTAGCTACCCTACTCAGTCTCTGTGCTGGTTAGTGGTCTGAGACAACCAAGAGGTTTTTGATGGGAAAACCTGATTTTGAACTCTTTCTGTTTAGAAGAATAATTTAGAATCCCTTTGTCACCTTAAAATGAAATTTCATTGCATACAGCTCTCAAAGGGTCTCCGCCTCTAATACACACTATGTAAACATGACAAAATAAATGAATAACTACAAATTTATGCATATACCCTCATATATGACAGGGAGAAACAACACAGTCTAATTCGGATGTATACATGTACATGGCGAGAGAAACAAATCTTGCGAGTTTACTAGATTTCCAATGGAGATACTATCTCTTGCCCTTCTCCCCTGGGTTTTGGGTGCTTTTTAGTCAGTCTGGATTCCTGACAACTACACTGGCAAATCCACGGAGATTTGTTGGCAACTTTTGGGGAAATGGCTTGCCCTTTCAATCTTCTAGGACTTAAGAGGACGTGACCGGCCCAGAGTCACCCTTCCATACTAAAGGCAGAACTAGGACTCACGCTCTCCCGACTTCTAGTCAGCTGCCTTCTACCAGTCTAGTGCTAGACCGGCTATCTTTTATCTCCTCTCTTAATTGACGGTGTAGCAGAAGTAGCTTTGAAAAGATGGCGGTGAAAAAGAAGCTCTTTTAGTTCAGACTCCAGTGACGCTTGCATAGGCCCTTCTGGCTACAGATTTACTTGGACTTGGGTGAAAATGTGGAGGGGGATTCCACACTTACCAGTCTTTGCTCAAGGGGGAAAAGCTCCATGTGACAGAAGGGGATTGGGAGGGGAAGGACTTCTTGGCCCCAGTCCTTGGGCAGAGCAGCCTGATTCCGGAGAGCTTGAACGGCCTACAGCTTCCCAGTTGGGTTGGTTGATGGCCATTGCATCCCTGCTGGCCCCAGTCTCCTGTAATACTCCAGCCTCCCCCTAGAGATGCCTCCCCAATGTATTAAACGTTCCTGTGCTGCTGAAGACACCTAGGTGTTGATGGCAGATCAACAGAAAAGCCAAGAGAGGCCTCAAGGCGGTTTCCCAAAGAAAGCCATTAATGAGAGTTTCTATTTGTTGTTTTTCTCTCTCTTCAACTTGCAGGTGTGCAGAGAGCTGGGAAGGCATTGTATTGTGTCAAAGATGATGTGGAGAGACAGTCTGTGAGTAACCATTTGAGTATTACATAAAACGGGGTCTGTGTGAAACTGAAGTGCTTGGCTTTGTCCTTATTACTTCTGCTAAGAAATTGCACGCATGGATTTTATTTGTTTACAAAATTTATGGGCTGCCTGCTTTCAACAGCTTTAAGCAAATGGCAGAGCCAGCCCAGATTTGGTTATATAAAACGGTGGTAGGCTTTCGTTCTGCCTCTCATTCCAAAGCAACTCATTTTAAGGTGACGATAGGACCTTTTTGACATTAGATTAATTTCATATATAATGCTATGCCACAAACTGCTCAACCCAGTTGCAAATGCCCAGAACAATAACAATGCATTTCATTCCATATCAGCACATTAGTAAGATATTTTCGGTTACAAAACATTTCAGCAGAGTTTTGGGTGAACTCAAGCAGAAGGTCATCAGAAGATTTTAAAGTTTAGCATTGAAGGTATTCAATTAAGTATTCCTCTAGGGTAATTTTCCCAGCACAAACTCATGCTCAGCACAGCAGTAGTGACTCCATGGCTTGTCTTGAGTAATCTTTGCTGCTTTTAATGACACATAATACGGTTTTGTACTTTTATTGCCTATTTTTACCATCCACAATGTCCTCCCTCAGTAACAGCTGTTCAGGGTGACTTTCAGTAACAAAGCAACCTTTGGAATTTAGTAACAGGCATTGATAACTGTAAAAAAAGAAATCTCCTCAGTGCTCTCTGAGCTTGGTTGTTTGCTCACAGACATTTTATTACCCAACTAAGGAACATCATCAGTGAGAGGGAGTGTGGGGTTTGCTCCCTGTTTATATACAGTCACTTGCCCCGCCAGTATATGTTTCTCCTTGGTGGTTTCTTGATTAGGATATTGTTTCCTTTTTGATTGATTGTCTGGTGTGGATCCCTGCTTACCTGGGTGTTGGCTGCTGGAGGGGACGTCTTCTGGTCTTAAACAGGGAAGCAAGCCCGACGTTCACTGGCACTCCTGATTTCCCTAGCTTATGTTATAAAACCATCCGCAAGCAAACAACTGAGCTCACACGGCAGCAGCGAGGACTTCACGGTTCAACTCCACAGAGTTCCAGAGAGTCCCTTTTCTTTAGGCTCTTGAGCGAAGCCAACGGTAGCTCTGAAGATGAAAGAAAAGCAGCAGCCAGACAAAGGAATTTGAGAATGGCTGCACTTAGAACGTCGAAGTTTTATCATCCCGGTACATCTTGCACTTCACAAAATATAACCACAGCCAGCCCGGAGGCAAATCCCATTGAACTCAGTGGGACTCCCTCGGAAGAGACGTGCCTCAGTTTGTTCAGTAAATAAACGTCTCTCTGCAACACGGTCTCCTCCTTTTATGCGCGTTCCTCCTCGTCGAATTGCTTTTCCTTCACATCAGAGGGATTATGTCATTCCTAAGTTTCAGCCATGAAACGAGTGAAGTTTTTGGCCAGTGAACTCGCCCTGGTAAGCCCTGTGGCTGAGACACGTGGTGGGCAGGTCTCTCTGGTGCCTGGGCAATGAAATAGCCCTATTTTAGATCAGCCCTGGAAATGTGTGGCAGACTAAATGCAAATTGCTCTGCAGCAGCTGGGTTTGTGAAGAGCAATTTGGAGATTAGAAGTTCCAGGGGGAGGAGAGAAGGGAGGAGGCGAGGGCAGCCTTGTTCTCCTTTCTTTGTTCTCCTCAAAAGCTTCTGAATATTCGCTCTTGCCGGAAGCGTTCCCTTATTTTACACACACACACACAGAGGATGGAGTTGCCCTGGAAGGGCATTCCTGGCAGACCTTGCAGGGCATTGTTTTGTAAATAAGCAGCGGCACAAAAAGCAAAGGCACTGCAGGATCCTTCGGTCCTATTTCTGCTTTCTGCCTTTATACCGTCTTCTAACAATTGACTGTGTGCTTCCTCCAGTGTTACCTCCGCTGAACTCGTTAAATTTTTGATCCTACCCGTGAAGGGCAGGGCTGGGTTATTACAGATCTCTTTTCCCCCCTCTGCTGTGTGTATTGGAAGGGTTTGTTTAAAAACAAAAACAAATAAAAAACAGGACAGTTTGCAAAGCAACGGCCGTACCCGGGTGCCATTTTGCATGAGGCTTCAGATGCCGAAATGGATTGTTTTGCCCTTGCCAGGTAGGAGCGCTTTGCAAAATGAGGTGGCCTATATTTATCCTGGGTGCTTCTTACGGTCAGAAGGGCTGCGTGCGGTTTTATGATGGGGCAGGGGGGTGCCTGCCCCAAATTTGCCTGTCCCCTCTTTAGCTGACTGGTTCAGATGCCGGCGCAACCTGCACCCATGGTCCTGTGCATCCATTTGCTTGCTCGTCGGTTTCTTCCCTGCCTGGAGGTCAGTCTTGTGTGGAGGAGTCATTGGTCACATCACGTGATCCTTCTAGGGTGAACCTGCTGCCTCCTGAAGCTTTCTGGGCAGCGTAGATCGTCCCACAACAGGGAATTGAGGGTTCTCCCCCGCAAATGAAGCATGTTTTATATATAAAAAAGAGCAGGCCAAGGGCCGAGAGAGAATGTTTTGCACTTGTTTAGAGCTACATTTTCTGCTCTCTGCCTGGGGGGGGGGGACCGAGAAGAGGCCCCCGTTTCTGGTGCTTCTCCTGGAGTTTGCGCTGGCCAGCAGAGGCCTTTCCTGCAGCCGTGTCACCTTTTGGAAGGAGAAGGGGAAGATGGAGAGTCAGTGACACCCTCTCCGTCCCTCCTCTTTGCAATTCAGATCCACTCGCTAATCAGATTAGCAGCCGGCTATGAAAAGCAGCCTCGGTTCTGCATGGACTGACTCCAGACTGCCGGTGGGTGAAAGTGGGGGTCTTGGGTTTGGTGCCGAATGCAGAGCCGAAGGGATGCACCCCAGCAGGATAGAAGCCATCCTAAAGAATAAAATACGGTGCTGGAGGATCTCTGTCCGCAAGGCTTGTCCGAAAGCAAAGCCGGCCACCACCCCAGGGGTCACCGCAGGAGAAAGGGAGCCTGAGCAGAGCTTCTTAAGCTGCTTCGTCACGTGGCTGTTCGGTGCTGCCCAGAAAACTCTCCTCGGGGATGACAGTTTTCCTGCTAAGCGGCTCCTCTCCCAGGGGATCTCCGTTCTTGGAAACCCGTTCCGTGTGCTGGGCTCCCATAACGCAGAGGGAACCCTTTGCCCTTTCAGGGGCTGGAGCCCGTGCGAGCCTGTCAGGAGGAGGGGGAGAAGGAGAGACAACCATGGCTTCCCAGCATCCCAGTGAATAGAGCATCTTCTTCTGCCCTGCGCCGCCTTGTCCAGGAACAAAGGCCTCATTTTCCCCTCACAGAGGAGAGGAGGCGCCTGGCTCCGCTGGTGAATTGTTATCCTCTTCCAATCGGCTCCGCTGGCTCATGGGATCGGTTAAAATACACTGGTGCTTTGGGGTACCAGCCTTCCTTCCTTCCTTCTTTCCTTCCTTCTTTCCTTTTTGTTTTGTTTTTTTAAAAAAGGGGCAAGCTTTAAAGTCTTCCTTTGATTAAGAGGGGAGTTGCAACCTTCCCAGCATGGATCGTTCTGTCCTCAGAAGGGAGAGACCCCCAGTGCTTCATGACAGGTATGTGTTTGCCCCCCTTTCCAAGCTTTCCTGCCCTTGTTGCGGGGCCAGTTGACCTTCCTTCCAGAACAAATCATTTCCCCCTTCAGCTAGAGAGTAAATGCGGCAGAAGAATTTGACCCCTAGCTGACCAGGCTGTTGGACTCTATACCTGAAATCTAGAGGTTGAGGTCTGACGTGACCTTAATGCAACTGGACTAAATAGAAATCAGTCCGTGGGTTTGGTTGGTCTTAAAGGCCTTCTGATATTCCAGAAAGGCTGGCATTCGTCTGCCACCCTCTAGCAGAGGGAGAGGCCCCAAAGACACTTTTCAGCGGAAATATAGGGTGGCATTTTATATGCCAACCAGCGCCGAGTCAGTCACTGGCATGTTTGATCCCTAATCTTCTGCGGTTTTCTTGCCAAATCCATTAGAGTTGGTGTGATGTTTGTGAAAGCCTGGTCTGGAAAGGGGAGGTGAAATGCGGTGAGCCGAGGATGAGTGTGAGAACCAAGGCACATGCTTGTGATTTATATAGGTCAGCGGAGGCCGGAGGCTGCCTTCCCATCCCTTTTGGCCTTTTTCGCCTGTGTTGCCATAGTACTTAATATCAGCAATTTTGGCAGCCTTGTTGGGAAAGGTTCCACTCTCTCTCTCTCTCTCTCTCTCCCTTGATTGCATTTTGATTGTCTTTGTTGAAAATACAGCTCTTATTTGCCAATTATTTCAACGTAGAATGTCACTGGAAATGCAGCTGCCTCCCGATTATAAAACGGTTAAAGTCCTCTAAATGGCCTCATTTGTTCTAATCCTAGCCTGCCGAGGCCCACCACGCGGCATAACTCCCTGCTCTGTTCTTTGGCCCCTGCCTCAAACATCGGAGCCTCCAGTCAAGGGGCCATAAAGTTGCTCCCGTGTAAAATGCAAGGATCTTGAAAGAGGCTCTTCTAACGAAGGAGCATGAAGTCAGAACCGGAGTCGCGTAATGAAGCCAAAGCCGGTCCAGTTGCATACTGTTTGAATGCTGTTTTCTCCGCCAGGCTGAAATCTGCCCGCTATTTGCCCTGACCCAGCAGCGCCCAGGGGAGCTTCCTGCCTTGGCAGCCTCTGGCCTTTTCCATTGCTCCAGTGAAGATTTGGAAGGCCCTCTTCCGGGAGCCTGTGCTGCGGCGAGGGCCTTGTTCCCTGTTGATTTCAGAAAGTATTTATATCCCGTTACTTCACTGCGGGCGGTCCAGGCGGACTTCTTAGAAAGGTTTGAGCAACAAATGTTTAAACAGCCAGAATTAAATCTGAGGTGCAGTGAACAGATTGAATCGGAGCCAGTTTGCTGCAGGCTGAACCACAAGGTAACACACACACACACACACACTCAACCACCCAGGCTCATTGGGGAGAAGATTGGACCATCTTGTCTAGATTTTTAGTTGAAAGGTCTTTGACTGGGTTGATATT